ACTTTGTTGGTGTAATTCTTGTCGGGAAAGCAACCGTTGGGCTGCAAGCGGAGTGTGATTCAAAGGTGTAACAATTATATTGATTGGGTTGTGGACGCCGTAGCTGCCGGACCTAAAAACCTCCTATGTGGATATAACACGGGATTACTATAAAGCATAAGATCCAAGTTGTCTATTGTGTTGATTGCGGCTTCGGAATAAGATGCTAGATTCTCAATGAATGATTCATGCGAACTCTGCAAATGAAAACGATACCTCGAGATTTCACAAAGCTGCTATCCATGAATCCCACTTCGAAACCGGCCACGACAACAACTGCTCCACGTTTGTTTGTGTTCATCACACTTGTGAAGGGCAGTACATCCATGCGCTTTGCTGCTCATAACCTTGTCATGGTTGGCCCAATTCAGAGGACGAAGAGTGATTCAGAGATTGACGCCGCGCAGGGATGTGCGGTAAATTGCTTACGACAAGCAACGCAAAGAATGCCGATGCTGTGCACCGGAAAGAATGAGCACGTGGCAGTTGACGCTCACCATGTGCAATGAACTCGTCCTAATCTACTCTATGATACACGGATGCTCTCCATATCTGGGCGGCCTTGTTTCCTGGGCCCCCTTTCCTTTCTAGTGGCTGTTCACCTGGTCAAACTGTCGCCGAATTTCGCCGTCCAAACCTGTGAGCACCTCAATCTGGCTCATCTTCACCATCGCCTTGGCGAAGTTGCGGTAGAATGCCGCGCCGTTGTTGGCGTACACACCCCCGCTGGTGCGGGAGTCGTACAACAGGCTCTGGTCCGAGGTGAGCAGGCCTCTCCCGGCGATGATGTCCTTGAAGTACTGGCTGTCGAATGTGTGCGCGGTGGAATCCATGTCCACGCTGGTGGATTGGATTGCTGCATACGGGCACTGCCCCTTCAAGAACGTGGCGAAGCTGGGAGCCAGAGTTGGGTCCACCGGGGTTGTCTGAACGCGGTCGTCGAATGTGACGCACGGGGCTTTTCCGATGGTGTGGGCACCTGATAGGACTACCATTTGGGAGGGGCTCAAGCCCTTCCGCCCGAACACATCTATGAGTTGGGACACGGTCATGCTCGGGGCGGGCAGGTTCAGTGCTTCTTCCATGATGGAAACCGTTCCGTCTCGACGCCCAGCGGGCACATGCCACCCGTAACCTCCAGCCTGGACAACCACGCAGGTGCAATCCACATGTCAGAAACGGGAGCCTGATACTCGACCCCACAGGTTCAATGCGGGATCGGATGCGCTTCTGAATCGCTCATTCGATGCGCGATCGGGTGAAGTCGGGAACGATCAACCAGGCAGACATCCAACCTTCATCCACAGACACTACCAGGTTTGCGTTATGGGATGCTTGCTCACCAGTACAACTGCGTCACGGGCGGCGAACTGCAACACATCGGCGGCTGAGACTACGCCCGGGCAAGCGTTCTCCACAGCTCTTTTTGCGGCGTCGATGGCGTCAAAGCCATGGAGTCCCGTGTTGGTTCTAGCTCTTCGCTCTGTATTGGGTCCTTCTAGCAGAACGGAAGCGTCGCAGCCCTGAAGAAACCACAGAGACGGAACAATCCTGTGAGGAGATGTTGCGGTTACAGTGTGAAGCATCTGAAGCAGAAGCAGACAACTCGGGAAAACTGAATTTGAAATCCAGGTACTTCTCAGCGCAAGCTCTGCGACTCGATCCAGCTGGCTGGGGTGCTGCAAATCAAGACGATCACGTACCCGGACGAAGCAATCGTGGAACGCCATCCGAAGGATTCCAGGTGCAACGGTGTCGTCGGCCTTGGTGGATTGAGCCATAGAGTTGTAGACGATGGCCTCCACTTGGGGACAGCTGTGACGATAGAACCCTACCTTGAGTCCAGTGTGAGCGGCAGCCGGGGTGATTGAATTCATGGCAAGGGCGATGGTTACGAAGATCGCCAGTAACGCCGGTGAGGGCCACCTCCCCATCGTACTGGTAAGATTCGGTTCACCGATGTGCTAGTAGGTGGTGGAAATATCTGTAGCACCTGCACCTGAAATATATTTGTGGTTACGAGGCGCTAGTCTTGGAGTGGGACGCGCCGGAGCTCGAAACTGGATTTGGGTGGGCGCTCTGCGTCGCACTTGGATCTCATCCAATATGGACGTGGTTCAGCGTCCTGCAAAAGCGCCAGGAATCGCGGAAGATCAGTAGACGAATGGATACAAGACCGCTGATCCAGATGCAGGTCGAGGTCGAGGTCGAGGTCGATCGATTGGGAGCAGCGCGAGTTGTGGTGAGACTGGCACTGCCTCTGAAACGTATTTGTATGTGGTGTTCAGGAACTGGGCAAGTCGCAAGTTTGAGTACGAAGATGCAGGGAAAGAAGATGAGAGTCGCCTTGGCTGATGAAGCTTTGCGCGTCCGGATACGAGTGGCACTGCACAAGACCGCAACGACACGAGGAAGACTGGGAGTGTCCTATATCCGAGTTGACGTCGAGAACAGTACGGGCCGTCGAACGTGTACGGACCACAGAAACCCCTCGTGGCGTTCCAAGACTTTTCGGAGTGGGCTCAAGTCTGAAGAGGGGACAGTATTGACCGTGGGACGGAGAGAGCCGGTCGCCAGCACAACATCAGCGCACATGCTTACAAATCTAACCCACGCAAGATGGAGGCTCTAGCGAAACGAAACAGTTGACAACAGCAGCTGGACTTGGGCAATATGGCGGGACCGGTCACCATGGATGAGTGATCGAGCCTGGTATTGGAGTTGGGTGACCTTGCAACATCCGCCCCTGGAAGTGAGCAGTGATTCGGTCTCCGTGCAGCTGGCAACTGTTGACTCACCAACCGGTACCCGTCATCCTTGGCGGCCGAATTGTCTGTTCATATTTGTGGGTATTATTTTTTGAAGGTTGCTTCTATTCTTTGTAGTGTGTTTCCAATTCCCCAAGATCATTCAAATACGGTTGAGATAGATCCTGTGAAGCAGGGGTGGGGAAGCATGATGTTTCCGGGAAACTTTGTTGATGTAATCCGTGGTGCTTCCCGCATGGATCCCATCGTGCTTTGTTGAGCATGACGTTCACTTTGTTGCACTTTATGAGTGCGGTGGATTTCCCCCAGCAGTTGAGTTCAGTTATTCTATTCCTCGATTCGATTCTATCATGCACGTGAGATACGTATGGAAATTCATGAAAGTAGCGTTACCAGGTGGCGTGTATGTGTCCTGGTCAAAACATGCGCGTGCCGTAGTGAAATTGAGTTTGAAACTGTGAACCTTACAAGAATATTTGCATCTTTCATCATAAAGCCCAATAAGGTAGTCAACCTTGAAAGCTGCAGCAGGACAAAATATTGGCTCATGCAATGGTATTTAATCTTCATATGCAATAAGTGGACATAAAATTTGCATTCTTCAATGGCTTCTTTTGTGAAGGAATTTATATAAAAGTTCTTGATGGAGTAACTCTCATATGATGTGGTCATACCCACCACCTATAAAAAATACTATACAGCCTAAATTGTCCCTTCAAAAAAGTTTTAGATCATTGATTGTTATCACATCCATCGGCATTGTCAACTTTATTGCTAATTAAATTACGTATTATCTTAGCACCACTTCAATTTAATTTTTCTCACTTTGAATATTGATAATATAATACTCAGAAGCAATAGCTTTTTTCTATTCATGTCAATAAAAATCTTATCATATTCTTATATTTTCTTATTTGATCTAGGCAAAGTACAGCATATACTTAGTCACCAAGTCACATGCAATATCAATCACAATTAATTCCATATAATACAAATAATTTATTTAAAATAATTATTAATTGAATTTGGCTTCTACAACTCTTAGTTAGTCTAGATTCTATTCACGTCAAGAATAAAGCTTTTGGCATCAATCGATTCTTTTACTTTGACTAATACTCTTGAATCTAAGAAATTCATGTATGCAAATGCTTTTGACTCCCTTTACTTGACTACTATTTGTAATTCTCCAACATTGCCTTTGCAATTAGCAAGACCAATTACTGTTGTCAACTGTTTTGTTTCGCTAGACCCTCAATCTTGCGTGGATTAGATTTCTAAGTACACTGATGTTATGCTAGCAATCAGCTCTCCCTATTCAACAATCAATTATGTCCCCTTTTACGACTTGAACCCACTTCAAAATATCTTAGAATGCCTAAGAACTGGAAACACATTAAAAAGAATAGAAGCAACCTTCAAAAATAATACCCACTAATATGGATACACATCCGGTCGCCAGTAATCACAGGCACCGATTGAAATTTGCTATTGAAGTAGAATGATTGAAACCGCCACAATAACCAACTCTATAATATCAACTTAAGAGCTAATATGCCAATTATTAGTTACCAAAAATAAAGCAAAGAATACAAAATATTTGTTTTTAACTATTCAAATTTGCTTCTTTTGAAGTCCACACTTTGGTTAAAAATAAATAAATAAATAAATAAATAAATCTAAAGACCTCCAAATAAGCATTTAAAAGTTCAGTAAAATTATGCTTTGTAATGTGTTCTACAACTAAGAATACTCCTTCAAAATTATTGTCATCTAAGTAGCAAGTTGATCCCTTCTTGGGATCAAAAGCCTTAAAACAACAATTCTATACTCCATGCATTTATAACATTTATAGTCCTCAAAACTTCTTGACTAGGCGGTATCGAAGTACAAGCTCTAACGATAAGAGTCACGCTCATGATTTGACATGACACATACAGGCGTCTTGGTTACACTGCTTGTCTGATTTGTAATCCGTAACTTACATGCATGCAAGAATCCATTTGAAAAATCGTGCTAAGCATAACAAAGTGAAACTGAATTTGACTGCTAGGTGAAATCCTCTGCACTGATAAAGTGCAGCAAAGTGAATATCATGCTCAATAAGGCACGATGAGATCAATGCGGGATGCTGCACGGATTACACCAACAAAGTTTCCTGGAATCATTATGCTTCTCCACCCCTACTTCACAGTATCCATCTCAACCGTATTTCAATGATCTCGTAGAACTAGAAACATATTACAAAGAATAGAAGCAACCTTCAAAAATAATACCCACTAATATGGATACACATCCGGTGGCCAATAATCAAAGGCACCGATTGAAATTTGCTATTGAAGTAGAATGATTGAAACCTCCACAATAACCAACCCCTTACTATCAAACATTCATATGTAAAGATGTAAATATTCTTATAAGATTCAAAATTTCAAACTCAACTTGATTACAACACGTGAATATTTTGACCACGACACATACTCTCTACCTAATAACACTACTTTCCAAAATTTCCATACAAACCTTACGTGCATGCTGTGATCGAATTGAAGATTGGAACACACTGAACTCCACTGTGCGAAGTGAAAACCTCTGCACTGATAAAGAAAATACCAAATAGAATTAGAAACATTTGCACAAATTTTTCTTCTTTCAAAGCCAACACATTTGTACAAAAACATCGATTTACATACCTCCATGTTTGAAATGTAAGAGTTTTTATGAATGTTGCTTTTTATTGCTTACTACAACAAAATTTATATATTTGAAATAATCCTCAAGTGCGTATCACATCCATCCCTTCTTGAAATCAAAAGCCTCAATATAAACACACAAATGTTCAGTAGTAATGTTTTTCTGGTACAGCTTTCAGGGTTGATTACCTCACGTGCATTATAAAATATATGCAAATATCCTTGTAAGCTCAAAAACTTCAAACTCCATTTCACTACAACACGCGCATATTTTGACCAGATCACGTACACGCCGACAAGGAACCCGACTTTCATGAATTTCCATACGTTCTTACGTGCATGATAGAATCGAATTAGAAAATAAAGCTAACTGAACTCGACTGCTGGATGAAATCCTCTGCGCTGATAAAGTGCAACAAAGTGAACGTCATGCTCAACAAAGCACGATGGGATCCATGCTGGAAGCAGCACGGATTACACCAACAAAATTTTCCCAGAAGCATCATGCTTCCCCACCCCTGCTTTACAGAATAAACCTCCACCGTGTTTGAAGGATCCAAACGGATTAGAAGCACACCACCGAGGAAGGAAGCAACCCACACATATAATTACCCACTAATATGAACAGACAATTCGGCCGCCAAGGATGACGGGTACCGGTTGGTGAGTCAACAGTTGCCAGCTGCACGGAGACCGAATCACTGCTCACTTCCAGGGGCGGATGTTGCAAGGTCACCCAACTCCAATACCAGGCTCGATCACTCATCCATGGTGACCGGTCCCGCCATATTGCCCAAGTCCAGCTGCTGTTGTCAACTGTTTCGTTTCGCTAGAGCCTCCATCTTGCGTGGGTTAGATTTGTAAGCATGTGCGCTGATGTTGTGCTGGCGACCGGCTCTCTCCGTCCCACGGTCAATACTGTCCCCTCTTCAGACTTGAGCCCACTCCGAAAAGTCTTGGAACGCCACGAGGGGTTTCTGTGGTCCGTACACGTTCGACGGCCCGTACTGTTCTCGACGTCAACTCGGATATAGGACACTCCCAGTCTTCCTCGTGTCGTTGCGGTCTTGTGCAGTGCCACTCGTATCCGGACGCGCAAAGCTTCATCAGCCAAGGCGACTCTCATCTTCTTTCCCTGCATCTTCGTACTCAAACTTGCGACTTGCCCAGTTCCTGAACACCACATACAAATACGTTTCAGAGGCAGTGCCAGTCTCACCACAACTCGCGCTGCTCCCAATCGATCGACCTCGACCTCGACCTCGACCTGCATCTGGATCAGCGGTCTTGTATCCATTCGTCTACTGATCTTCCGCGATTCCTGGCGCTTTTGCAGGACGCTGAACCACGTCCATATTGGATGAGATCCAAGTGCGACGCAGAGCGCCCACCCAAATCCAGTTTCGAGCTCCGGCGCGTCCCACTCCAAGACTAGCGCCTCGTAACCACAAATATATTTCAGGTGCAGGTGCTACAGATATTTCCACCACCTACTAGCACATCGGTGAACCGAATCTTACCAGTACGATGGGGAGGTGGCCCTCACCGGCGTTACTGGCGATCTTCGTAACCATCGCCCTTGCCATGAATTCAATCACCCCGGCTGCCGCTCACACTGGACTCAAGGTAGGGTTCTATCGTCACAGCTGTCCCCAAGTGGAGGCCATCGTCTACAACTCTATGGCTCAATCCACCAAGGCCGACGACACCGTTGCACCTGGAATCCTTCGGATGGCGTTCCACGATTGCTTCGTCCGGGTACGTGATCGTCTTGATTTGCAGCACCCCAGCCAGCTGGATCGAGTCGCAGAGCTTGCGCTGAGAAGTACCTGGATTTCAAATTCAGTTTTCCCGAGTTGTCTGCTTCTGCTTCAGATGCTTCACACTGTTTACGCAACATCTGCTCACAGGATTGTTCCGTCTCTGT